GATTACAGCAGCATCGACCTATCCCTATCTCTTTCAGTTACTGTGTTTTATTTAAAAAAAAGCAAGTTCAGTGGGTCGGAGACTGGTCCTGGAGGGAATTCCTTGCTTGACAAAAGCTCCCGTTTACACCTGCTGATCTGCGAATGGGACGTCGAAAGGGGTCTTTAACGTCTCCTTTGAGAGGATCACATTGAGAATTAACTCCTGGTAACTGCTCCTTAACTCCGAGCACTGTTGTTTCTGACCAATCACAGCCATCCACATTGGCTAGTCAACTTCAAGGCGGACACAGACATGCCCCCAATTCAAGGCACTCTGACCCCGTACCCCGGTGACACTTGGATGTCTCCTTCACCTGGGTCGGACCTTCACCTCTCGTTCGGCTACCATCTTGTTCCAGCCAATTTTCATTCGCTGTTTACAGAGTCCTCTTCCTTAACTTGGTTTGAAGGTCATGGTAACTAGCCTATATCCATGGCTTTAACGGCCGCGACAGGCGGCTTGCGCATGGAGTCGTTGCGCTAATCTCGCTTATCTGTTCCACAACAACCGCTCCTTTCGCTGAGAAGAGATCTCAAGGAGACGGAAGCTATGCCTGGGTACAGTAACTGTCACATTTTAACCAATCGGCTACGCCTGCCATACCGGACATGGTCCTAGCTACGTAGACATCAGTTTTCAACGTTGGATGCTGAAATCTTTAGCAAGCTAGTGCGTCTCAGGGGACACAGTAGAATGAGTCAATGTACCTTGACCCCTCGTTTGTATAGTTGCGTTTTTTCGGGACTTGACTGCCTTTCATTTCACAGGCATTTATAAGACCGTGGAGGCTTCAAACATACCATATTTACCGCAATGAAGAAAGGTTGCAGAAAGGCCGTCCCCTCTCTTTCAATCCGACTGGAGCTGCAATCAGACCTGGCGGCTGATTTGTTATGAAACCTCCATTTTTTTCGTTTACATCTGCCTTTCCTGCGAAGTCGCCTGTCAACCCCTCCTTTTAGCCAAGCCACAAACAGGGCTATCGATGACACCGCTACTACTACTACTACTACTACTACTACTACTACTACTACTACTACTACTACTACTACTAATACCGCAGTAGTCTTCAAATTAGTGTAGATTATGTAGTCATCAGGGCCGTGCCTAGTATATAACAAATAACTTTATCGACGCCAGTTGAGGTAGCCTAACCCTACATAGAACTACGACTTATTGTCTGAGACGGCAGTGGAAGTTGAAATACCTGAGAGCAGTTGACTGACTCTGTGGCCTTCTATCTTCATGTGTGTGTTTGTGTGTGTGTCACACCATCGCGTCATCGTGTCCAGATGCAGGGACGTTGTGCCTGAGTTCTTCTCTCTCCCCAGGAGAGTGTGTGTGTGTGTGATTTGGCAAGTCAACAAGACCGGAACGTCGGCATGGTTAGTAGGTCAGTTTGTCTGGCATTGCTGTCTGTCAGAGGTGCAAGCCCGGGGGGGTGTCTGACGACTCACCGTCCTGCCACACACACACACACCGCCAACGGAGAGAAGAGTTAAACGACGAAGTTATTGACACACGGCTGACACCGCTGAACACATACAGACTCCCTACCGTTTGTCAATTCTTATCGCCTCCTGCAGCGACCGACGCGGGTGAGGCCACAGACGGAGGCTACTCTGACTTCTCAACAACGTGTAGTGCTAGGTGGGGAGCCAGAATAAGCGCAGAGACAAATCTGTCAGTTAGGGTCATTTGGAATCCAAGGTGAGATTGACTGCGGGGGTGTGCTTGAAAGACCTGCAATCCAGTCGGTTGGAGGCTGTTCAGGCTCATAAATGATGGTGCTTATGGGGATGGGAAAAGTAACATTCCGGGGCGGGAGCCGTATGACTGCGACGGATTCCAAAAGCGGAGTTATATCACCGACCCCGAAAATTGATCCTTCATCCTCAGATAGTCCTTTTAATTTGACTGTAACACGCACATAAAGAGTTCACGAGGTTGGGGGAGGGCGTTTTACTACCTGAGACATCATCAGCGCCGATATTTAGAGCACAAAACGAGCCCGGCTTGTGTGTATTCTCTCCTATTCTTAAACCGGATTTAAAACTGGCTGTGATGCTTAGCATGCTCCCACTTCTCTGGCCTGTATAGATCTGTGACTTCTCTGCGGTCCGGAGTCATTACTGTGACTAGTACTGCGAAATTACCACTTCCATGGTAGAGGGGGGGGGAGGAGATCACCGATCGTTCTTACGGTACAGAATTTTTCCGTTCTACCTAATAAGCAAGAAGTGGTCATTCCAGTCTACCTTGTATTTGTCGGTAATGCCATTCTGCCTATAGCATGCACCGCTGTGCGGCCGCTGGTTGGGCTCTAGGAAGAGCCCATAAGACAGAACGGAACAATGTTTGTCCTGTCACGTCTCCTAGTCTTGTGTGACTGTCTCACTCTCTCTCTATCTCTTATTTTCATGTCGCCTGACGACGTGTTGGTGTGACCTTTTCGCAAATTCTTGAGCACAACGCGATTTTTTCCGAAGAACCTCTTCTTTTTTCATATATATAATGTTGGGGGGGGGGCGCTCATCGATTGTTCTTACGGAACTCACTCGTTCCGTTGTGCCTTACGAGTTCTCACTCGAGCCAAACCAGCAGCCGACAACGACGCACGATATAGGCAGCAGGGTAGTATCGTCAGTATCCGTCAGTATATACAGTGAGTGACCTATCTCATGAAATGTTGGCTGAAATTCTGAAATTCATTTTCGATTAGGAAGGATTACTTGGTCGCGGTTGTAATACTTCTTATCTTGCGACATATTCTTATAACATTTCGGACTTGGCAGGATGTCGGCTTTTAAAGGCACTTCTTTTCAATCTCCTGTAAAAAGCGTACTCGGTAAAAAAATGACTACTTATGTAGCATGCATTTTTCTCATTGATTTTCGATGTTCTTGCAAATCCAAATATATTTTATAAACCCATAAACAAAATATGCTTTCTTTAAGTCAATCAATAGAGAATCACGTCTTCTTTATATTTTATACTTAAGGACGGAGTATAATTAGGTTTTAAAAAAGTTTCTAATTATGAGACTTTTTAAGACCGCAACATGTCCATTGACATAGCATCGTACCTGGCCGTTTACCACTGCTCCTCATGAACTGTACAACATGGTCCGCATCCATTGCAAAATTTTATGGACTCTGTATGATATCTCTTTAATGGCATAGAAAAATATGTGGTTTTCTTTACGCGGAACGGACGCGCCCTGTAGAGTGAAATCACTAAGCGCTAATGCAACGAATGATCAGGCTCCATATTACTCGGCAATTAGAAAACTTTTTTAAAACCTAATTATACTCCGTCCTTAAGTATAAAATATAAAGAAGACGTGATTTTCTATTGATTGACTTAAAGAAAGCATATTTTGTTTATGGTTTTTATAAAATATATTTGAATTTGCAAGACCATCGAAAATCAATGGGAAAAATGCATGCTACATAAGTAGTCATTTTTTACCGAGTACGCTTTCTACAGGAGATTGAAAAGAAGTGCCTTTGAAAGCCGACATCCTGCCAAGTCCGAAATGTTATCAGAGTATGCCACAAGATAAGCAGTAATACAACCGCGACCAAGTAATCCTTCCTAATCGAAAACTCATTTCAGAATTTCAGCCAACATTTCATGAGATAGGTCACTCACTGTATATATATATATATATATACATACCATTGTCAGTTTCGTCTCCACCCGCAAGAGTACTTGCGAAACACCTAAACAACGCCACCTTCGCCGGTATTCACTCCATCAAAGGCAACGGGGAGTACCGCAAGGCCCGTCGTGTTCCGATGGCGAGAGTGGGGTCAAGACCGACGAATTTAAACAGACCTTAAACGAATGCTCGATCCTCCTGTCCAGGCCTCCACATGAAGCAAACCTTGAAGAAACAAGAAAGACTTAGAGTCAAAATCATTGATAAGATAATAAGGGAAGAGTGTGATCCGATCGCTGGAAAAGGGAGCTTATTTGCCTGACGCCTCGGATTTTGATTTGAAAAAAAAACAGCCACAGATAAGAGTGGGGAATGCGGGAGGGATCCAATTGTCCTGCTGTGGGGACTGCTTTCTTGTCCGCCTGCGAGTCTTAACCTGCTGCAGGTTCATCACCAAGGTCATTTGGCGGTGATCGTTTGCGCTCTCTGCATGAAGCCCTGTGCTATGCCCATACAAAGTCTCAGCATTGAATATGGAGGTGAGGGTCACTGGGTTTGCCAATAGACTGCGAGTGGGAGAACTTTGACTCGCGGATGTCACCTGTCGGCCGTATAGAACATCCTGTTAGTACCTTGTCCCATGCAATGACTTGCTACCGGAGAGCAGGCATTATTCCTCACTCCTACTGCTTGTTTGGCCCACCGAGTCTGCTGTAATCTCCCAGTTTATTTAACGTAATTACGTTGTTTCCAAATGTACCAGACTCGATAAACCACTTCAGACGTTTCCTGTCGATGCACCCATTATATGCGCCTGCGAGCGAATCCAATTTCAATTGGTGTAAGCAGGCGGCTTTCAAGGCGTTCTTGAAGTACAGGGACGTTCGCGGATGCGGTCTCGTTTCACGAGCAGGCCTTTGCTCTGAGTACGCGTCGAAAGTACTGTAGTTGGGAAACCTCTGCATCTGATTAACTGAGGTGGATCTCAGCACTCAGATAGAGCGTCCTTAAACAACTGCCGTTGTAGCTGAGTGCTGCTTTTTAGTCCTCACAATCTTTGCGGCCGGCGGAACGACATAAAATAAGACCAGGGAACCGGTTTCTTGTCCCTCCATCTTAAATCGTGTGTCCGGTTAGACTGTACGGAGGTGTTCTGTGAACGCCTACATCTGCTCACCCGTGATGCCCGCGAAGGTATCATTATGTTCGAGTGAGGATCTAAACCATCAGGCAAATAAAATCCTTATTCCACCAATCGCATCCCCAGTGCCCCGAATGTCCGTTGACCCCGAGGTCACCGTAGAAGCGGTTGTACGTTGGCATTACGGGGTGGTCGCAGCTGTGATTTGCGCGCTTCGTGTTTCGCTTTGGCGGCGGCGATGTGCTTGGCTTCGTTGATCGTAGCGCCTGTTTTTACCGTCCTCATCCAGGTCGTTCGCGAGGGAGCGAGGTCTTTCCATTTGGGCGGATTAATTTGCAAGCGTTTCAGGGAGGACTTCGGAGTATCCTTGTAGCAGCGGATTTGGCCTCCTTGGAAGCGGGAACCCGCGGCGACGTCTCCGTAGAAGAGTCGTGCGGGTAGCTGCTCGTCGTCCATCCCTACCAGATGACCGCCCCAACGCAGCTGCAGTTGTCTCAACATGGTGTTGATGCTGAGGATTCCCGTCCGTTTCAGTGCGTCAGTGTCAGGGAACCGGTCCTGCCAGCTCAGCCTCAGGATGCGACGAAGACAACTGAGGTGGAAGGGGTTCAGTCGGCGTGCCTGCTTTGTGTACGCTGTCTAAGTCTCCACTCAGTACAGCAACCTTAGGAGGGTGACGGCCTCTTATATCTTATGTTTCATGCTGAGCTGGAGTCCCTGTCTATTCCAGACTGTGCTTTGAAGGCGGCCGAAGGCTTGACTGACCTTCGAGATCCGGCGGGCAACTTTATTGTCGATTTTTGTGCTGCAGGAGAGGGTATGCCCGGATACGGGAAGTTGTCCACCACGTCAAGTTGGGTTCCGTTCACGCTGATCTGTCGCACATTGTGGGGAGTGGCGGTGTTGGCTGGCGGTTAATGCATGACCACCGTCTTCTGCGTGTTGATGGTCAGACCGAAATTCTCGCAGTCGACGGAGAAGAGGTCCATGCTGCGTTGCATGTCCTCTTCCGAGGTGATGTTCAGGACGCAGTCGTCGACGAAGAGAAGTTCGTGAACGGTGGTTGTGGATACGCGTGATCGGAAGTGCAGCCGTCGTTGATTCAGGAGGTGACCGTCCATCCTGTAAGCCACGCGGCTCTCGTGGGCGTTCGTCGCGATAGGCGTCCATCAGCATTGCAGAGAGCATAAGACTGAAGAGGGTGGGCGCCAACACGCATCCCTGCTTCACTCCGTTGGTCACTGTGAATGCCTCTGAGACAGCTCCGTTGTCCGTGACTCGCGCCATCATATCGTCGTGCAGTTAACGCACCATCTGGACGAATCGCTCCGGACAGTCGAATTTTTGCACGATCTTCCACAGTCCTGCACGATTCACCGTGTCGAAGGCTTTCGTCAGGTCCACGAAAGTGGAGTACAGGTGGGTCCGCATCTCCTGGCACTTCTTCTGGAGTTGACAGGCAGCGAAGATCATATCAGTGGTCTCACGATGACGGTGGAAGCCGCACCCGCTTTCCGATAGAAGGCCCTCTTCCAGATGATTATTCAGACGTTTGAGGAGAATGCGAACTAAAATTTTCCCGGCGATGTTCATCAAGGAGACGCCTCGGTGATTGTCCCAGGGCTGGCGGTTTCCTTTTCGTTTGTATAGAGGCACGGTTGTGGCATCTTTGAAATCTTGCTGGATTTCACCTTAAAGCCACATCTCCTGGAAGAGCGCAGTCAGGTGATCCATAATTTGGGGACTTCTTAGTCAGTAGGGTGCTGCCGTCAGCGCTGAGGAGAGGAGTAGTGCTTTTGGTCGGCGGACCGCTGACAGATTTGGTCGCGCAGAAGTTACTCTTGGATCTCCTTGGCCTTGCGAGCCATCCAGCCATCCTGCACCTCACGCATTCGCTGTAGTACGAGGCGGCGTCTACGGTGGAAAGCAGCTCAGCTGTCATCGGTGGGACGCTTGACGTAGGCAGGCGGTTCTTCTCGGCGAGCAGATTGCTGATGCCGGCATCGTTGTCGTCCAGCCAGTCCTGGTGTTGGCAGCGCGCACGACCGAGGACGGTCAGCGCCGTCGACTGGATTGTGTCCCGCAGTTGACACCACAGTTGTCTAGCCGTTGAGCTGACTCATCGCTGAAATGGTAAGCAGGCAAAGGAAATTAGGCAAAACTAATTTATCTTGGGTCGCAAACCTTGAGGCCTCCAGTGGGGTTGAAGGCGAATGTGCATGTTTGAGATGACGAGGCGATGGTTGACCCAACCGTCAGCACCCGGGATCGCCTTTGTCACCAGAACGTCCCGTTGGTCTCGCCTCCGGACGAGGACATAGTCCAGCAGGTGCCACTGACGCGACCGAGGATGCCTCCAGGTGGCCTTCTCTCGCTCTCGCAGGCAGAAGAAGGCGTTCGTCGGGATGAGTCGGTGTTTTGCGCAGATTCAAAGAAGGGACGGGCCATTTTCATTGGAGCCGTTGAGGCCATGGGGACCCAGCACTCCTCTCCAGGCAGCATGGTCTGTGCGGACGCGGGCGCTGAAGTCACCAAGGACAATCATTTCCTCTGCCTTCGGCACAGTCGCCAGGAGGGCATGCAGGTTCTCGAAGAACTTGTATCTTGCTGCGTCAACGCTGTTGATCGGTGGAGCGTAGGGGCTGACGATGGTGGCGAATTCGCCTCCCCGAAGAGGCAGACGATCGTTGATGCCCTGCGGCAGACAGGGCAGTCGTCCCACGATGCCCTTCCGGATGGCAAAGGCGACGCCCGCTTCCCGTCGCTCCGCCTTTGAGCAACCGTGCCAGAAGAAGGTGTGGCCGGCACTCCCCTCCTCCAATTGGCCTTTTCTGAGTGCGGCGATGTCCACCTTACACCGCGCCAGTTCTCGAGACACTAGCGTCGTCCTCCGTTTCGGATGGTTGCTCCTCGGATTTTCTGAAAGAGAGCGAATATTCCAGGCTGCAAAAGTGAGCGGAATCACCCTGCTAGTCTGGCGAGTGGGCGATGGAGAGGAGGAGGAGGAGGAGGAGGAGGAGGAGGAGGAGGAGAAGGAGGAAAAGAGAGAATGTTGCTCCGATCTCGATTTTTTTGACCGTGTATTTTACGTCTGCAACCACAGTCAGCCTGCAGACGGCGTGGTTCCCCAGCATCTTGTAGAGCACACCTT